GAGTGACAAGATATCTAAAACATTTTTACCTTCTCATGACCATGATAGCAATAAATATATGTAGATGGTAAAACACTGTCTGTTAAACATAAAATGCCTGTTTCTTGTCCACTACAGATCAACGATTTCTGAGGCAGTCAAACATGACAAGGAGGCCACCTGAACCTTGCTGGAGTTAAGTGTTGCTGCTGGTGACCCAGGTGTCCCTTTATAATTCTGAATTCTTACACTAGGGAGTCTGACGGGTTTCACACAGAACTCTCCTTCCAATCTACATATCTATTTTAGCTTTATGAGTCTCCCTTATATTTCACTTTGGGTAGATTTGAACTAACAGTTCTAGAAATGATGAACATTGACTCCGAGTCAATATTTTTATTTAACACAAAGATTTATGTAAATATTATGAATAATTATGATAATGATAATTTTTTTTATTATGATTGCTGTCTATTATGTTGTAAGCTCTTTTGATCATACTGTGTGCTTCTGATTATCTGTTTTTCCTGTGTTGGATTATGTTTGATATAAGTTGGACAGAAGTCCTTGGTATCATCCTGTTGCTTCTTGATCTCTCCTGTCACATTTGTTCTATTCTGTCTTCTTGGTTTTATGCAGCTACATTATATATGTAAAAAAACAACTTTTAAAAACTACACTAAATCTCAATGCAGAGTCCATGTCTCTGCTTGCAACTGAAAAGGTGAGTCTGTTCTTCATATTCCTCCTGCTAGAACTCAACGTAAACCCTCTGGGAACAAAGCACGGTGTCATTCAGAGCAGGATGCTCAACATGCCATCTCACACACCCACTAGCTGTCATTCAGTGAGTTTGAGTCAATATATTCCCAGAGGTAACCTGCCAGGAAGTAAAACCTGCTAGGGTGAGACTTGCATACAGGTTTGCAGATACAACACCTGCTCAGCATCTTACCTCAAAACTTCTTAAATGTGTTCACCCTCAAATGCAAATACAGCGACACTCCTATCCATGTGAACATACAACACGAGCACAACAGCAAGCTTTGTAATCTGAATTGTTTGTGACTGTGCTGGTGTGGTTCAGCTGGAAAAGTCTGGTTTATCTGGATTTTTGCCGGTGTGGTGAAGTGTTTTGGTGGCCCTGCTAAAAATGACTATACTTGTGTAAGGACACATTTATACTTTATTTTCAGATTTAGCCTGTTGATTGCTTTAGCAGCTTTAGGCTCTACATCAGTACGTCGCACATTATCACATTTTAGTTTTATGAGGTGTGTGTATACAAACAATTACATTCTTTCAGCAGTGCAATTTTGGCAGATGATAAAATACTTTGTATTCTAAAGTTACTGAAAAGGAGAACATTATTCTTCAGCTTGCTGACTGACTAGTGTTTACTTATGTCTTCACTTCCACCTTTAGTGGGAAACAGTTGTGTAGAGGGATTTCTCTGAATAATCTGAACTAGTTATTACAGCGTTATGTACAAAACGCAAGCAGCACTTAGTGTAATGAAAATAATACACTAATGACTAAATAATGTGACAAATACTACTTTTTTTGATTACTTTTCCATTTATGATACTAACAGTGTGTCTGTGGCAGGCTTGTTCTTACAAAATGTCCCAGTGTTCCAATGTGCACTTCCTCTGACCAAAACCCAATCAAAGCAGAGCAAAACAATACAATGACTGTATAACAGAGAAGCTCCTGACTGGCTACAGTTCTCCCCATCATAATTTAGACGTACAGTACTGTTTCTCTGTTGCCTGGATAGTTGCCAAGACTAGCATTAGTACAAACTTTGCCTTATCCCCATGTGACAACCAACACTCTGTAGATGTAAGATGCAAAAAAGAAAAGACCAACTGTGCAATTATAAAAGTGAGTGAGAAACCATTTAAAAACCTATTTGTGTCTATTAAATGCTTCACAGAGCCAGACATAACAATACAGACAAAATAGGATTGAACATGTAGCAAGACAGTTTCATAAAAGTTGATTATTTTCTCATATCTTGTTAGACTTTATGTTGGATGATACCTAAAATTTGGGTATCAACTCACTAATTCATGCTTCTACTGATGTTACATTTTCTTTAGTGTGTGTTGGCTCTGCCACTACTGCAACATCCCTCTCAGCTGTGTTGAAACCGGGCTTACATGCCTTGCCAAATCTCTCTTCTGTTCTCTCAAATGTAGCCACAGATTTCAAAATGTCATACTGTTTAAATTAAATATCTTTTAAGGTGTCAACAGAGTCAACACTTAACTGGGCAACCACAAAACCGCAAAACAAAAATCATTACTGGGAAGAAGGTGGTGTGATGCTCTGATTTCTAATGTAGACCACTGCCACAAACACTAACCAAGGGGATAACTAAGGCACCTGAGGGAGGAAAATATAACAAAACAGCTGTAATTCCAGTGAGAATGGTCTCATGCAATATAGTAATAAACTCAGCAGGTGTCTTTAGTATTCTGCTGACGTATTGTAATTTCAAACTAGAATTTATTAAAAAAATTTAGGGAAGTTTCTCTAGAACTGGAAACATTTTCAAATCCATCATTTGATCTTTAAATGTTATTGAAACACAGTATTATACATAAAATAGTTTTCATCCATTATTATAAAGTCCTGCAACTAATATAATAACATATAACAGAGTAGTTAATGTATACTATGCAGGTTTAATGTTTTCAGTTAAATGATGGCCTACAAATGTTCAAATATAATGAAAAAATATAAAATAACTAAACTTTCATTTGTCTTACCTGCAATCTTGTTATATAGGCTACAACAATAAAATGCTTTTTATTTAAATATTCAATCCCCTATGAAAGCTGTTTTAGTTTATAAATATGAAAAGTAAGTACTAATTATTATGTCTGCAGTTCAACTTTAGCAAAGTGCAAGATTTCATGGTATTGTCAGTCTGGCAACAATTATCACTGATTTCTCTACAAAAGATTAAAAAAATACAATGTCCTACTTATGTTAACAACATACAGTGTTTTAGTATGTAACATTCTCATGCATCAAGAATCTGTCTGGATTACTGTCTGTTGTTAAAATGTAATGTTGACAGTTGGTCATCAAAATATTTCCAAAATACTGAACAACAGGATATTTGTATGCATCTCAGCAGACACTCAGTCTTAGTGTAAACAATTTTTGTCACCACTATTTTGCGGTCAGTTGATGCAGCAACGTGTCTATTTGGAAGAGCAGATTAACAGCCTGCTGTTTCAGTGCAAAGTCTGGTGTCAGTGACCTACAGTAGACCGACCTTAAAAGACAAAGCTTTTTTTAGTCTCTGCTGACATGGATAGTGATGGAGGCGGTATGAGGTCAGCCTAAGGAACATCCCCACTGTTTACAGAAGCACTTAAAATCAATTGGATGTGACTTTAACTTGTATCTTGCCAGAGTTACCTATACCTTGTTTGTGATCCAGGTATCCCTTTATAATTATTTCCTATAACAGAGAATCTGTTGGGTTTAGCGTATGTGTCCCTCAGATTTCGCTATGGGCAGATCTGAACTGGCAGGAGTACGACTGTTATACCAGATAACTTAATAGTACTACCTGCTGCCTGTGAACTGATGACTTATAGCAGTTAAATTAAATATATCCCAAAACTGCCGTGCTATGTGATGTTAATAAGTTCTATAATGACAACTTAACAGCGTCCAAGCCGCAAAAATGCCAAGGGGACCCGTCCCAAATATGCTACCGTGAACAGTTTGCTTGCTAACATTAGCCCATACAGCCTAGCCATTGGTGTAGCTTGCAAAAATCATACTTAATTAAAATGGACAACAATTTTAAATGAGAACGCGGTAATTAAGTTATCATATATTGTCCTGCTTGTACTTAACAACACGCATCAAGTTGCCCATCCCAACTCTTGACAGAACGCCAGGAAGCTTTTTGACAGCTAGCGTTAACGTTAGCGGGTGGGTTTTTAAAAGATGGCTAACTATGCTAGTTAGCCATCTTTCTTGTGCACAAAAGGCAAAGATACATTCGCGGCCTTAAAAACACATCACGAGAGGAAAGACTGAACAGCAAAATGTCTGTCGTCTTACCTTGGCGGTGTTTGCAATGTAAATATTTTTGACAAGTCCAGAAAGATGAAGAGAAATCTACTGTGTAGCCCTGGATTGACACAGAAGCGGAAGTTACTGGCAGTGAGGGCGTGATTAGCTGAATGACAGACATGGACCGAAACCAATCAGGTTTAAGTATTATTTTTTTACGTAAATAGAAAATATAAAGTCTGGATTCATGACTACAATTACCTCCATTTTTTTGCCTTTGCCAGTGTTTTCTAAGATAGCGCATTTTGTTTTAATAAGATATTGCAAGTTTGTTGGCTCAACAGAAGTCGGGTGGACTGTAAACAGGACCCACTAATGGCCTCAAATTCCACACGTCCTCTGATTAGCTCTTGAAGTTAAATTAACTGATCAGAATGACTGGAACTGATGTCTGATTTTTATGTCAGCTGACTATGATGGTGCATTGTGATAATGATGACTTTTTATTGCTTTAAAATTTTTATGAGGAAATGGCTCTACTGATATCACCATGACATTTGTTTTGGGTATGTATTATCCAGGCTGATATCGAACCATCAGAATTCCTTAAGTAGCACTGTAAAAACTGTAAAAGTTAAATTAAGTGTTAAAGTCATTTGCTTTGTGACAGAACATTTTACTTTCTTTAGCACCATAGCCTTTGAAATATAACATTTGGCCTTTGAGGAGTTGGTGTTCATTTCAAGCAGTGTTTATGAGACATTAGCAGTTCATTAGCTCTCCCATCAATAATGTATCATGTCAGACATTGATATGTTTGATACAGCTGGCTGCCTGCTTAGAGAGTACCACAGGCATGAGCATGTGCATGGACATATCCAGTGCACTCTTTTACTAAGTACATGCTGTTGTGTTAGTAGGTTACTACATTATCATGTTGAAAATTCCTGTATGAATGAAACTTAATTTTGTTCCTTATTTTATGTTTTAAGTTTCAGTCAGTCAATTAGCATTTCATTTAGTTGTTTCAAACGCTCGCCAGTCACTCATAGATCTTAGTCAGATCCACAAATACTGATGGATTTCCGCTTTATTCATTTGCAATAAAAAGAAGCTTAACTGGATAGTTAGGCATGAGTAGTGGCAGTTGTTTTATGTGACCGCTGAACAGACAAAAACAATAGTTACCACACACATACAAAGTCTAAGGATAAAGGCAACACGGAACAACCCACTTTGCCTGACAGCTGATCTCAGTGAAGTACAACAAGGGCATATGCTAAAGATCTAAAGGTCATATGAAATTACTTTTTCTCACCATTAAAACTTAACACTACACATCACTGCACACAGAAAAGTATAACCTTCAATAATTATTTGCTGTTGTTGTAGGCAGCATCAGCCAGACAAGCAGAGTAGTTCTTTCCCCACCTTTACAAAACATCTATCCATGATGGTGTGATGAGGAGAAAAGAGAAGAAAACAAAGGATAGGATAACAAAGAGAATGAAGGACTGGACAGAGACTAATGGAGCTGAGGGGAAAATGGTCTCCATTCAGGCTCACAGTGGGACAGAGTAGTGTTGGGACACAACCATACAAAGACGCACAGACACAGCCATGTTCTGTAGATACATATGCTTATACCAATGTACAAACTACAACACAGACACAGCCATGTTCTGTAGATATATGCTTATATGTACGATATATGCTTATACCAATGTACAAACTACACAAAAATGCAAATGAGGGATGCGTTAACAGTGGTGCTATTTATTTTTAAAATATTCCAACATGCAGGTTCAGCAGAGTCATCATAATCCCAGCCAGTGTCTACACACACACACACTGCCTAGTGAATCAGAGCAGAGAGAAATGTAAATAATGCTTGTTCACATCCTTGAATTCTTGAAAAACTGAAGATGGTTAACATGTGTTTCTCTCCAACACCAGTTTCTGCACCTGAATATTTTGAATAGTTTATTTCCTCTTTGCTGTGTAAAGTTGCCTATCAATATAAAAATCACTTCTGGTCAAGCATAAAAATAAACAGGCCTTTTTTTCCTCATGTGTTGTTGAACCTTTTTGTCCCTTGCTGCAGTTTCTGATGCTCACCACTAGAGGGAGGTAGAAGACCACATAGCGGTTAACTCGACACTACCTTGCAATGTGGAGGTGAATATGGGTAACTGTAGGTTTAGAGTTTTATGAACCTACTTCATCAGAGCCAGTTTATATCAGAAAGGACTTGAAAACCTCAGCTATTAGACGACATTAACAAGATGTAAATGTGTTATTATTTAAACACTCACATGCTAATATTACATGATGGAATACAAATCACAGCAGTGTCTAGTATATTGTGGATAATGATTTATAATTACTGATACATTAATTTGTACACTACTTTAAATACCACAGCAGGTAAATGAATGGTTAATTTTACTTACATTACTGTTGGAGCTTAATCGAACATAATGCTTCATGATTTATTTGATGATTATATTTTGTATTACAAATCAATTAGTCTGATAATACACTATTACCTACTAAAATGTAGTAAATTGGAAGCATAAAGCAGCATAGAGATGGCAATACCCAAAGTGCAAGTACCCCGAAGTGGTATTTAAGTGTAGTACTTGAGTTTATGTACGTTATTACTTTCCAGCACTGTAACATACTAGCCACAAGGGGACAAGAACACAACTGTGGGCCAATGGTTAGACTTATTTATGAAACAATCCCTTTGGCATTTCAGGACAATTTGGTTTTCAACACTTAAAAGCACAGCATTGGAATTAGCCAACCTTTATTTTTAAACAGAAGTCTTTCCATACTCTCCCACAAGGACTTTAAAGCTCATATCATGGACAAGGATAGAAACATGTAGCCACTCACA